CTAACCCATCCCTGTTCATGTAACTTGAGGCATCTTAACTGCAACACATTGTGAGCTGGGGGTAAAAAAAAAAAAAAAAAAGGTCTCCCTCTCCAAAAGCTAAATGATAGGAACTTGGCAAGTTCTCCATGTGATAAGACACTTCCGGGGCAGGTATTTGGTCTAGCTGTTAAGTCGCTGATTAAGACTCCTGCATTCCTCACAGCTCTGGCCATTGTAGCCACTTGTGGAGTGAACCAGTGGATGGAAGATCTTCCTCTCTGTCTCTCCTCCTCTCTGTATTCCTGCCTTTCCAATAAAAATAAATAAACCTCTTTTAAAAAGCAGATTATGAAACTCAGTAGCTCCCTTTCATCATCCCCAACACACACACTCTCACACCACACACACACACACACCACGTGTACACACACACGCCACGTACACACACCCATGCCACGTACACACACCCGCCACGTACACACACACTCACGCCAGATACACACACACACCACACACACCACACACACACAATCTTAACCTTGATTTAAGACACGATGCTCTCTGTGTTGGAAAGACTGATGGGAGATCCTTAAGGCAGCATAAAGCTAATGCCCTCAATAACAACAGGTTTTGAGGATAATTCCATGACGAGTCAGTGTTGCACAGATTCTACCCTCTAGAAATGCTCTTTGCAGAGTTTTGATGAAATAGCTCTGTGTTCTACTAAGATCACAGCAGACATCAGTCAGTCCCTGGGCCCCACAGTCTGCCATTTTACAGACTCAGGTCCAAACGCCAAAGCAGGGTCTACGTACACTCCATTGTTGTGCGGCACCATGCTGTCCTCCCTTTCCTTGGCATTCCCCTCCCCATACTTCAGAATAGTATGTTATGGCTCTAGGCTGTGGCTTCAGCACTGCTCTCAAAATCAGTGGTCTCAATTCTCACAAAATCCTTTCATCTCAGGGACTCATAAAATCTTGTTTGGGTGGCCAGGAAAAAACAAATTCAAATGGCTAGTGTTTTCCTGCGTGTACTGAGGCTGACCTGTTCGGCCATCTCATTGTTCCAACTTTGCTTCCTTGACTGCAGCCACGTCTGCCTTAAGCTTTCTCCCTGGTCTTTGTGTGGTCTGCTCCTTGGCTGAGTTCTGACAGCACTGAGCTAACCTTCTGTTCAGACAGTGGTGTGTCATCTTCTGTGTTGATGGGCTAAAAGCCACCATGCCCACCACCTGAGACTGAGTTGGACCATAAGCTCAGCTGACACCAGGCTGCAGCCCACAGGGGAAAGGCGAGCAAGTCAGAAGTGGTAGAAGACCCCCGGCCCCAAGGCCGTAAGGATTTCTAACTCGTGTTAATAGCAGTGCACTCCTGCGTCAACAAATGCACATCAGAGGCGGTGAAGAATGTTTACTGGTGTGCAGAGCTTATATGAAACAACCCTAGAAGGCAGAACTCTGGGGCACCACGTGAGAGCATGTTCCCCCACTGAGGAGCTCATTCACAGCTTTGGCATCCTTGCTACCTCTTGACAAAAGACTCCCACATTCTGCCCTCTCTCCTGCATCCCAGAGCAATTTTTCAGAGTATCCTCACCTGGACGTTCTATAGTTACTGCAGACTTCACAGTGTGAAAACTCAGCTCATCACCTGTCCATCAAGCCCACCCTGTCGCATGTCCCCTGCTTGGGGGAGCAGCCAGCCTGACAACCCTCCCCCTGGAACTTCCTATCCTCTCTTCATCCAGCCCCTCAACCACCTGCTGGGAAGGGCTGCCCCTTGGCTCCTCTCATCCATGACTCGCCCTGCTCACGCCTCTCTCACTGGCCCCCTGGCCCACAGTCTGGTCTTGTGCCTCCGCTCAGGCTCACAATGACCCTACTGAGTCCACATCCAGTAGCCTTCTCCTGCCCTGGAGCTACAGTTCATGCCCCTTTACCCCTCACACAGGGCAGCTTCCCCTCATGTGTCCTGCGCCTCTCTTGCCACTCTCTCCCAGGCAGCCCTGTATTCCCGCCTTCCAGGGCGTCTCTCTCTGGTCTTCACCTATTGTACCTGTGATCCCCTCCCTTCCTCCTTCCCTTGGTGCTTCCTCTTCCTCCACCACCCTTTTTCTTGCTATGCACGGGCACAGAAGGGAAGAGGAAATTGCATGCAGCCAATTCAATGCATTTTCTCAAATGAACGCACCCATGTAACCTGTGCCCAGGGTCAGCCTCCCTCCCGTTCTTTCTGTCTGCCCTCATGACAAGTTGTGACTCTCTTACAGCAGCCTTGATTGGTTCTATAAACAAAAACCCAATCTGAAAGGAAAGTCCTGGCTAGGACACCTGTTGCTGCCTAACAATCCCACAACTTTGGTGCTGCCCGAAGTACCCTCCTCCTCTGCCATGCCAGGCCTTGCAGATACACCACCTTTGATCTCCTCTTGCTGTTGTTGTTTCCTGGCATCCACTCCAGTCTGCTGCATCCACCCGCAGAGTCCTGAGACCATGGTCCCCCTGGCTCCCCTCCTTGCCGAGCTCAGGAGCATGTTTGTCATTGCCGACAGGATGCCTCCAGCCTGGCTTCTTGATTCCACGAATCACATGGTTCTTTCTAGTGTTTTTCTCCAGCATACTGTGCATTTCATTGGGCCTCCTTCTGTCTCCACTCACTGTGTCTGCTCCTGGCTATGCCTGGAGCTTCACCTCCCTCCCACCAACCTTCCCTCCCAGACTCATCAGTTAATACATTTTTTTGCCTCCATTGATCTGGATGGACCCACCACCCACCGAGGAATAAGGCTCAAATGGTAACAAGGTTTGAACCTGTTGCTCCGATCTTTTCATAGCTGTTTGTCCTGCACACCCTCTGTGCTTCAGCCATAGTGAACCTGTATCTCTCGTGAACTTGCCCTTGGAACATCTATCAAGTGGTTGACTCCTGCCTGGGATGCCTTTCACCCACTCTTCCACCGCAGAGCCACTCATCCTCCCCTTTAGGCCTGTGAGCTGTTGCAGGCTCTCTTCCTAATCCTGGGTGCAGCTACGAATATGAAGGAATAGCATTATAATATGCATAACTCACAGCTGCTAGGACAAAAATTTCACAGGGCAGGACACTGGCTTTGGTTGCACAGCTTATACATGGAAAAGCCAGGATTAGATTCTGATTTGCCTCCTCTTTGCCAACCCCCTATTCCCTCCCCAACCCCGCCAAGGTTGAAGTTCGAAGTCTTTGGTAAGTGAACAGTTATCCCAAAGCAGGGGACATCTCTCTTTACAGATTTCTCTTGTTTGCGATTCCTCCAGAGGAGGAACTGGTTCCCAGTTATTTTGCCACCTCCCCCTTCTCTCCCCCGCCCCACTTCCTCCAAAGCCCTACGCAGCAGCCGGCAAAGTGTCTTACCCATGTTTGTGTTCACTACATGTTTACTCAATGAAATAATGGGTGAGCTGTTAAGAGGCAGCGCTTGGCAGGGCATCCTTTTTGCACAATCAGTGATTCTGAGTGCTGTCCCGAGGGCTGCCCAAGTGCAGGCCCAGCTGCTGCCGCTCCGAAGCCTTTGCTCCTTCAGCATGATGCAGGCATGGGGCCGTCCCTGGCTGACCCTCCCTCCACCCCGACCCCAGCCCTTTGCCATCCTTCCTGTCCGCGTGACATTCCCTGCCTGTCTTCCTGCTCTCCGCAGCCCAGCGTGCAGTCAGTCCTGCCCCACCCTCTCCCTTTCTTGACCCCATGCCCCTGCTTGAACCTCACTGCTTTCCTGGCCACTGTGGACAGCAGGACAACATGACATTTAGGCAGATAACTCGGTCGCAGAGTGGACTGAGATAAACACGGAGTCACGAGGCCCTGGAGGGGGTTATGGGGACGAGAGAGGCGGGCCTCATCCCAGGCTGGAAGGACTGAAAATCAACGAAGTCACTGTCATTTTCCTTGTGGATCGCAAGTGAGACAGACCAGAGCAGGTTAAGCTCTAAGCAGAAATGTACCAAGCTTGTAGGGAGGTGGAGGCACAGCCTGGACTGCAGGAGAAACAAAAGCAGATCCATAGGGGGTGGTGTGGGATCGGGTCAGCGCGCTCTCTGAACATCTGTTCCAGGGAAGCCCACCTGATGGGCCCAGTGTGTATCAGGTGCCTGCCAGCTCCAATCACTGGTGGGCAGGGTGGCGGTGCTGCCAAACATCTGCCAGACACTGGGCTCTGGGGCAGGAAGAGGCAAGGATTGTTACGAACCGAGAAATGGGCCCCTAAAACGTTCAACATGATGCTTAGTTCTATCATGTGATGCCCCAGTAAAAGAAGCCTGGTGCTCTTTCACATGCTTCCCCAGAACACCCGATCTGGGTTGCCGCTTCACCAGTTTCCCACAAACAATGTTCTGTGGGGAGTCAGCAGCAGGTGTTCAATGCTGGCTTTGTTCACTGAAGGCCCAGGATCCAGCCTTACACACACGGTCCTCTGTCCTGCTAGACTGTAGCAGGGTAGAAACTGCGTGTGATGAATCAGCCTGGCTCAGCCCTTCCTCCTCAGGCTCTGCCCCCAAGTGGTGCCACCCTCCCTCCAGCCAGAGGCATTCTGTCCTCTTTCTAGGAAGCCCACGTCATTGAGTCTGAGGAGAGGCAGGGTTCCATGCTGTGGCCAATTCCGAGAGCACTAAATGTTTCCTCACTGTGGTTTGAGGGCAGGAGACAGGGAGCCAGGCCTGTTCTGGCCTCAGCCATTTGATGATCCATCAGTCCCAGGCATATCTGCAAAGTCGCCAAGTCAGAAATGGGAGAGCTGGATTCAGGGTGCTCAAGGCCATGCAACACTTTACGTCTGTCCTTCCTGAGCTCGGCCCCAGCACTACCATGCTTGCTGTGGCTGGCACAGAGATGAACACAGCATGGGTTCCCACTTGGGTGTCTGAGTCCCAGGCTGTGGAGAGGCAGAGCCGGGAGCCCGTCCTGCAGGATGACCTCGTGGCCCTCATTGCTACATCCTCACCCCAAACCTCTGCGGTGATACCTCACCGGCTTGTCTTCCAGGTTCCCCGGGTACAGCGGGTCGTGTGTGCAACCTGACTTCTCGAGGCATGGATAGCTGCGAGGTCATGTGCTGCGGAAGAGGCTATGACACCTCCCACGTCACCCGGATGACCAAGTGCGAGTGTAAGTTCCACTGGTGCTGTGCCGTGCGCTGCCAGGACTGCCTGGAGTCCTTGGACGTGCACACGTGCAAGGCTCCCAAGAGTGCTGACTGGACGAATCCCACATGACCCCAGCAGAGGACACCGTCCACAACCCTCCTGCAAGGACTCCACTGGATCTGCGGGGACACTGGACTTTCTTAGCAGGGATAGTTCTTAAGGAGCGTGGCCTTTGTCACAACAGAAGTCCCTCCCCCCCCGGCCACCCCAGCCCTGGGGCCATGTGCTGCACACAATGTATGCCCTGTTCTGTCCACCTCTGGTTCTCTGGGGGGTCTCTCTTCTTCCTGGGGAGTTCTCGTTGCAAACAGGCTGTCCTGGGATGTGGGAAGGAGGGGGAGGGTGCAGATCAGCATCTCTACCCTTCTAGACTTTTCCTCTTTCTAGAACAGTTGGCCCAGGAGACAGTGAGTATATCAAAGGAACTTCCTCTGTGTCCTCTAACAAACACTTACTGCTCTCTCAGGGTGGGAAGAATTAACTTAAATTCTTGAAAAGACCAAGCAAGGCTTTTGTGCAATCAGTACTTGCCATACACCGCCCGACCCTATCCTTAGTCCTCCCTCCCCCTCCTCTCACCCCCTCCATGATCACTGGTCACTGCCTGGGGAAGGATGGCTTTCAATAAATTTCAGGTTTAAAATGCATTTTTTCAAGGAACTTATTGCTATAGCAGAGTCTGACATAATAAGGTGGGACTGTGTGTCCTTTGGTGTGTGGACTTTGGAATCTTGGCGCTAGCAAGAGGCTCAGAAGGTGACTGTTCACATCACTGTCTCCTCCATACAAAGAACCTGTAGATCTCTTAGGATCTGAGTGTAACTGAAGAGACAGTGGGTGACCTGGCTGTATTCTGTAACTGTTGGGTGAGCATGGTGGAAAATGATGAGCGGATACTGACAGAACATGAATAAGTACAATGCGAGGGGGAATAAAACTCCTCTCTGGTCTTAGGCGTGTGACCCATGGAATGTGGTAACTGAGACCTCCTTGAGAATGAAAACTTGGAATGACAGGAACCAATGAACCCAAATGCTGACAGAGAGCTTTCCAGAGCTAACTCAGGCCTGGGACAGCCCTCGGGCAGATGCCAAAGAGAAGTCAGCCACGTAGGCCGAGGAACGACAACCGAGCCTGTCGCCCTTCCAGTACAGTTGAAAGACCTGTCATTTTTAATTGTGTTTATTTGATGTTGAGAAGATGACGTGATACTTTTGCCTAAAGCAAATGACACATAGCCTTGCTTACACGTTGGTAATCCTACTATATTATATTGCAAACAAATCGTAACTTGGAGACTGTGTTTAAGGGATGCAACTGTAATTATGGGAATGTCAATATGCAAATAGTGGTTGGCTTCTGCCATCAGCCAAAAGATGACATTTAGAGAAAATAGGTTGCCTCCCCATTTTTTTTTTAGCATGAACTGGAGGATAGGTGACAGGAAACTTCCTCTCACACCTTGTTCAGTGTGGTTCTTGTTCTACATGTGGCCTCATTCCCAAGTTACATTAATTAACAGGATATTTCACTGTGTGCATCTGGTGCCAGATTACTGATGCTTGCTCATCCTTTCATACCTTGATCTTGAGTTTCTCCGGCCTTGCTGTGCAACAGCCCAGTGCTTCAGGCACAGGGATCCACACCCTGAGTAGCTTAAGCTCCGTGAATTCCAAGCCAGGTATCCACCCAAGAGATACCAAATATTTCCATCCAGGAAATATTCCCCTCTGACTTCCTTTTCCCAGGACAAAAGACTATCCCTGCAGACCGCTCTGTCAGTGGTCTCATCTATACGGGAGACAACAGTCACCTTCAGAGAGGCCAAGGAGCTCACTGGACATAGTAAGAGGATGCAATACCTTTATCTGCCTTTAGCTCCAAAACAGGGACTTCCTCCTACTGGGGAAAAAACTTAGAAATGGGAGAAGATAACTTCAAACTTGTTTTCTTTAGGGTTTGATAGAAGTTCCTTATGCCAGGACTCTCAATGAGTTTAAAGGACTCTTGGCGATCTGAGGCTTTTGAGGAAATTCATGGCATGAAATATCCAAGAAAAGAATGGTGTACAAATCTCAAGTCAGACCCCTTTACAACCCCTTCTAATGGAAATCATGTTAAAAATAGAAATTTGGATCGCCCAAGACAATGTCATCCATTTTCTAAGTATCTGAGGGGCATCTGGCATAGATGATCTTGTCTAATTTCCTTGAGTTTTTGGCAATAACCATGTGACCCACATGTGGGCCTAGGGACCAGCCTGGGAGGTGCTCTCTTCAACAGTTCTGCTTCCCCACTTTGGTTTGTGGCACTGGCTGCCATCTGCCTGTGTCCTGAAACCAGCCTCTGTTGAGGTGCTTTCCTGCTGCTGCACCCCGACAGGCTCCAGCACATCTGGGAAGAGGGGCTGCCTTGCCTCGGTCACTCCCACTGACCCCTGCAAATGGCTCCAGCACAACAGACCGCAGTGCCAGGCTGCGGTCAGCACTGGCTGTGGAGACTTCAGGACAGAAATGGGAGATACAAGGCTAATAATCCCTCAGAATGTGATTCTGTGCGCTCTCTTATGGGTGACCCTAGATGGAAGCAAGTATCGGAACAGAAGAAGGATCTGCTAGGTACCAGGGCAGTATGACTGGACCAGATGGTGGCAGAGGGCAGAGGAGGAAGGAGCTATTGCGGGGCGCCTGGCTACCTTGCTGGGAAGCACTGCTCCTGTTGGCATTCCCCACCTTGTCTGCTGCTGCTGTCCTGTGCCTGCCATCCAGCGCCTCCTTCCTGCGGCCACAGGGCTCAGTGAGCGTGGCCCTGGCTGGGATTCTCCGCATTGGCCGTGCAATTCCCTGCAAGAAGGCTAATGTGAATTTCAAGAACTGTTTCGAAATTGCACAGCTTTACTCTTTCTTATTGGTATTATTGCAAAGCTTGCAAAAAAGCCAGGCTCACATGTCTCTTTCCAGGCAAGTGGTTCTCCAATCGGAAAGTGCAGTCTCACCTTGACTTTCAGGAGTCAAGTTAGTGTCTCGAGGGACCTCACGTGGACTCAGACCCAGAGCAGGGCCATCACCAGATCGGCTTGACCATCCTGTGCTCTGCCAGGTGACACTCGCAGACAGCGTCACTCTGCACTTAGGAAAGCCTGGCTTTAAATGGCTGCTGTTGTGCTCAGCTGAAAAGCTGTGGTTTCCATTCCTTGCCTGCTCTGAAAAATAAAGGCTCACAAAGGGATGCCAGGGACTAGGACTGTTCCTTCGTGTGTCTTTACTGTACTTCAGTGTGGTATCTTAAAAGCAAGAGCTGCAGTCAACAGATAAACCTCACCTGATCCCAGGCGGGGCCGTAGCTTCGGCCAGGTGTGAGCTGCATCTCTGAAAAGGAAGCTGCTGGCGTGAACTGACAGCTGAGTGGGCTGGCCTTGACCTTCTCCTTACCTAGGCAGGGCGAATTCTCACTCATCCATGAGAATGCTCTTGACATTCTTCTGGGGATCAGCAAGGTGACAGGTGCTTTACAGAGCCCACCGTGATCATTAGTTTTCTAAATCAGTTGTTCTAGCTTTAACTTTTTCTTCCCCTCCTGATATTCACATGGATTCCTGTTTAACCAAGCCTCCCACTTGCACAAACTAATAAAAGTGTCATGCAGATTGTTACAAAGAACTATTGTTATTTACAAGTCTACATTTTCTGTGAAATCAAAACATAATAAAGTGAATTTTCAGCGTGAACTTTGTTATTTTAAACTCATGGTAGTCTTGCACAACTGTCTGATGAGAAGAAACCCATGCAGGTTACGGGAACAATTTCCTTGTCTTAGGATAACCCTAAAACACAGCTGCCACCTGGACTGAGATGCTCCAGCAAGGCCATTGGTTCACCTTACTGGTACCCGTCCTCCAGAGTTAGTTTCTAGGATATACGTAAGACCGAGAAACAGAAATGACTCTATGTGTTTCCCCATGGGTGCCAGCCCCACATGGACCCGTCCCAGAGCCAGCGTGCCTTTGCCAGTGTTTAGAAATCCAGTGTCTCTCAGAACACTGAATGCTCCCAGTTTGACTGGAAATATACAAGACCCTTTTTTGGCGATTCATGCATCTTCATTACAAGGGCTATTCATGCCACGCAGTAAAGCTCAGAAGATGGGAATCAACTGTCTTCCAGCCAAACAAATCCAGCCTTCCATTTTCTCTTCCCTTTGAGGCTCTGAACTATAAGCACCCCAACATGGCCCTTGTAACTGGGCTGCTGGTTCTCCTGCAACCTAATTGTCCCTTCTAGAAACTTAAAATGAGAGGGGAAATGATGTGCCATAGGTACTTTACAAAGGAGGACAACCCAAAATAAATTTGCCCAGAATTTGACCATAAAGTTTCCTTTTAGCTTCTGTACAGAGGGCTGTCCTGCATGCCATAGGATGTTTCTAAGGAGCTCTGCTCTCTGCCCACAGTTGCCAGGTGGCCCCCAGGTATACCAACCAGAAACATCTTCAGACTGTCAACCCCCAAACCGAATGTGAGGGTACAAAGAGTGAAGCTCGCACAGATCCCACGGCCCGGGAGGTCCTGGCTGGCCAAGCACTGACACAGGCAGGCAGGCAGGGATGGAGTTAGAAGAAAAACAATCATGGGACTTTCGAAGCTGCAGGCAGAATTCATGTGAAGAATTCCACAATTTCTTAATGCATGGTGTGAGGGAAGAAAACCCCCAAGCCTGGGCAGTGAGGGAACCTCTGTGAGTTGGAAAAGGCCTGAGGTTCAAGTGAAGACAGGGTGAGGCTGCCCAGCATGGGTGTCATTTGCAAGTTGCTCCCAACATCTGACCTCCTCTCACTGTTGGCTGCTTCTCGTGTGCATCTAGCTGGTGGTATGTCAGTGGAGAAAAGAAGCAGAAGCATTGCCCCACATGTGCCAACACAAAGCGCAAAGAGGGCAGCACCCACCAGGGGTGAGATGGGATCAAGTGAAGGAACAAGAGCCTGGGCAATGGATGCCAGCAAGGGTAGAGCATGCTGGCCAGAGACCTCAGGGCTAGGCAGCAAGAGAAGGCATCCTTTGTAGGAAGCCTCTT